TCCTATCTTCCTTCCCCTCTCTCTTTCCTCCCCCTCCCCTATCCTATCGTATCCTGTCCTCCCTCCCATCTCTTCCCTTCCCATCCCCTATCCTATCCTCCCCCCGCCATCCTTCTCCCCTTCATTCCATTCCTTTTCCATCCCCATCCTCTCCTCCCCCTTCTCTCCTCTCCCTTCCCTTCCCTCCCCACCTCTCTCCTATCTTTCCTCCCCCTCCCCTATCCTATTGTATCCTGTCCTCCCTCCCCCTGATCTCCTCTCCTGCTCCTCTCCCTTCCCTTCCCTCTCCATCCCCTATCGTATCCTATCCTCCCTCCCCTTCCTATGTATCCTATCCTCATTAAACAGCATTTGCAGAATGTCAACGAAGATTCCATTATCCAGGGCAAAAGTGTCCAAAAAGGTCAAATCATGGCAACAGGACTAAAGATTATTTAACTGAGACTTTTGTTACCCATCCAAGTAACTTCTTCAGTCAATTTTTTTTAAAAAAAATTGATTGGGCATCGAGTCAGGGAGTCTCCGTTCACATTTTGCATTTCATTTTGGGCCTGAAACCCCCAGCGGCCAGATTAAGTAAGAAGTTAGTACACCCCAACAGCTCTTAAAATGTAAGGAAATAGCCACATTTCTTAGACTTCCATTAGGAGCATTTAAAAGCATCATTTCTTTCATTGGGGCAAATTTTAGAAGTTAAAAAAAAAAAACCCTCCAGACTTACCCTGTTCATGATCATGCCACTGATCTCAAGCACGGACATATCTGCCTTTTTGCAGTCGTTGCCTTCCCACACAATGGCGCTGACTTTCTCCAACCCAGGGTTCGAGCTATGGAACCAGGGCAAATGACCCTGCCAAAAATATATGCATATTTAAAAAGGGGCCATAAAAGGTTCTGTAAAGCCATAACAACAGCAATAACAATGGTGACCTGGTCAATAGCAGGTAAACACTCAAGCAAAAATTGTAGCTTCGGACGGATTTGGCAAGCTCCAGATAAATATACATATAAAATGGATGTGGAGACTCTGGAAAGAGTGCAGAGAAGAGAGCAACAAAGAGGATTAGGGGACTGGAGGATAAAACATATGAAGATGTCTCATTTAATGAAAAGGAGGACTAAGGGAGACATGATAGCAGTGTTCCAATATTTGAGGGGTTGCCCCAAAGAAGAGGCAGTCAAGCTATTCTCCAAAGCCCCTGAAAGCAGGACAAGAAGCAATGGGTGGAAACTAATCAAGGAGATGAGCAACTTAGAACTGAGGAGGAGTTTCCTGACAGTTAGAGCAATGAATCCATGGAACGAATTGTCTCCAGAAATTGTGGGTGCTTCAATACTGGAGATTTTTAAGAGGAGACTGGACAACATACATACATACATACATACATACATACATACATACACACATACACACACACACACACACACCAACAAAATCTCTTTCTCTCTCTGCCTCTCCTCTGTCTCTTCTCTCTGTCTCTCTCTGTCTCTTTTTCACTGTCTTTGTCTCTCTCTGTCTCTCCTGTCTCGTCTCTGTCTCTTTCTCTCTGTCTCTCCCTCTGTCCTTCTCTCTGTCTGTCTGTCTGTGTCCTTCTCTTTCTCTGTCTCTCTCTCTGTCTTTCTCCTTCTCTCTCTCTCTGTCTCTCTGTTTTTGTCTCTGTCTCTCTTTGTCTGTCTGTCTCTGTCTCTCTCGTCTGTCTGTCTGTCTCTGTGTGTGTATCTATATATATATATTTTCAGCACCCCGCCACAGTTGATCCTACATGTTAAATATTAAAATTATTTCATCCCTTTCCCATCGCTTTTGCTTGTACGCTTTTGTTTTGTTTCTCTGTTTTGTATTCTATTTTTTTATGATAAAACAATAAATAATAAAAAAGAAGAAAAGACCGGACAATCATTTGTCTGAAGTGGTGTGAGGTTTCCTGCCTAAGGAGGGGGTTGGACTAGAAGACCTCCAAGGTCCCTTCCAACTCTTGTTTATCCTGTTGTATCATTTATTCTCCTACTCACCGGATGGAAGGGATCGTCTCTGTATTCCTTCTTCATGCAAGAGTTGACCTGTGAATTCTCTGCGTCGGTCTCGCTGGTACAGGATGAGCGGCATTCGGCACAGTGCAAAAAATCCTCCCACAGGACGTCTTCCGTCTCCGATTCTGGCCTGGTGCTTTCTGAATCTTGTCTGGAACTTGAACACCTTGAGCTGCAACTGGTGCCTGATTTGGGGACATCCTGAAGAATACAGGAACAGCCATAGGAGGTTATCGAAGGAACAGCCCAACCCATTTGTGTGCAGTTTGAGCCAACTACTTCGTTATGTTCAGCCTATAATACAGGAATCTTCCCGATCTGACAGCTTAAGGCACCAAGGAAGCTAGGGAAGGTCAGCCCTAGGAGTTTTGTGATTGTGCAGTGATTCCAGGCTAGTTCTAAACTTGATCCCTCCACCCTGTCAGGCTGGGGAAATAGTAATAGTGTTCTGATCTAGGCTTCCTTAGAAAGCATATGTGATGACCCAAAGGGGCGTGGCACAAAGGCAACACAGTCAGATAAGCAATAAGAGTCCATTTATTATCTCCAACTTTGCCCCCAATGTCCAGGTTACCTTCGGGCTGGAGAAAAACTTTCCCAGGAACAGCCTTTGACTGTAGAAAATTCAGTCCAAAACAAGGTACGTACAAACTGAAACTTAAAATCCAAACACACCAAACTGAAGTAATTAATTTGACAGGGCAGGAGCAGGAATTTCAAACTTGAAAGTACAGCAAAACTCGCACAGTTGGAAAGACACCAGGAACCATAAGCCATGACGATACAAGATAAAGTCATGTTTGCTCCCAACAGCTTGCTGCACGCAGTTTGCCATTTTTTATACACTGCATTCCCAGCTGCAGCTAATGAAGGGAATCAGGACCCTTTCCTCCCCCGTAAGCCACACAACCCACGTTGCTCTCTTCTCCATTCCTCCCTGCATGCCCTAGGATGAAGAAGGGTGGGCCTTGGTCTTCCTCTGAATTCCCTCTCCCTTGTTCTACCTCCCCCTGCTCTGCCCAGCCAAACTTTGCCCTTCCCCAGTTTCTTCCACAGCCAATGGAGCCACACTCCCACTCCCTGTCAGTTGTTCGGCTTCCTCCTCCGAGTCAGCTTGCAACAGGGGCATGACAGCATAGAACACAATCTTAGTCCTGGCAAAACCTCTTTTATTTCCACAGCTGTGAATTACGTTCATTCACAGCCTGCAAGGCTTCACAGTCTTTCAGTAGAATGTTTATAAACACCCACCTTATTACACTTGGGAGTGTGGCCAGATAACGAATGGCCAAACGCAAGGCAAGACCAAACTTGACACAGAGTCAAACAGAGCTTTTGAAAGCTTGAATTGACCAGACAAACTAATTGCTTCCTGCAAAAGCTCACGTCCCATCCTCTCTTCTGTTATGGCCTATGGAAGGGGCCAATCATCTCCGCCTTGCTCCTGAGTTGACCCTGCTTTCTCAATTGTTCTTGTCTTTAGTATCCCTGCGCATACGCAGGCTGGGAACCAGTTCCAGAAGCTCCCCTGCCTCACTGCTATCCGAGTTCGAAGGCAGATGATGACTGCCAGCTTGCCCTGGCCCCAACTCTGCCTCCGATGCAGAGCCCTCACCTTCCTCAGCCTCCAAGACTGGCCCAGGTTCCTCCCCAACCTCCTCACTACTGTCCCGACTCTGCTGCCAGCTCCATCAGCCACAGGCAAGCTACAACAAATAGCACTTAGACTTACATACCGCTTCACAGTGCTTTACAGCCCTCTCTAAGTGGTTTACAGTGTCAGCAAATTACTTCCCAACAACCTGGGTCCTCGTTTTACGCACTTCAGAAGGATGCAAGACTGAGTCAAACTTGAGCCAGTCAGCATCGAGCTCCTGACAGTGGGCGGTGAGTTAGCCTGGAATATTACATTCTAACCACCACGGCTCTCACACGCCCCAAAAGTACCCATGAATTTGATGTCCTTAAAAGTTTTACTCGACAACAATGCAAAAGCGTTGTTACCTCTACGGGGTAATGTTTCTTATAATGGTGAGATTTCTTATTTCGAAACGCACAATCGCTGGAAGGGCGTTCGGCATTCCGTCGTAAAGGGTAGCTGGCTTCCGGCCCCTCTTCACTAGAAACTTCGTCCGATATATTTGTCATTGTTCGGTGACCGTCCTAAACCAAAGAAAAAGTTACTATCAATAAAAGCACATTTTATTTATCTCAAACAATGCATACAACTTTAATATACAATTCTAGATAAAATTGGGCTGCACTCCATAGCCAAGCAGCTCCTACTGATCAATTGCCCTTAATTATGAACCTTCTTTCCTGCCATTTTTAGACTCGGGATGCTAATTGTAAGTCTTAAAAAATCAGCTTAAGATGTTTTTAAAAAGTACAGCCGAAACTCAAGAAAAAAAAAAGATAAAAAGGAGAAAATCCTGCTGTCAGGATTCCGAGGATTACCCTAATTAAATCATGAGCCTCGAGCCTAGCTTCAAAAGAATTCAAAAGATTTATTAGGAGCAACAAGTCCGGCACTAACCCGTATGAAGCCAACTCTAAAACACATAATTTACTATCCTCTATGACCCTGTTTCCCCATACCCCTCTGGGTGTGTCATAAATCACATCCTCCAACAAAACACATTCACAGGCTAGGTGTCTGGGAACATGCCTGTTTCGGACTTGACCCCTGCCCACTGTTTTATTTTATTTTAGTTTGTTTTTTTGAACCACCCAAAAAGGGACTTCGGGTGCAGGCATTAAACCATTAAAACTATAAATATGCAAAAGCTAAAAAATTTAAAAGGAAGGGGTCAGGTGTGAAAGATCCACAACAATTAAGACTTATTAACTACTACTCCTCCACAACAGTATTCTCAACAAACAGCACCTGCTTGGGAGTTAGATCACAGAATTCAAGGGAGGTTGGGCTTAGTTCGCTTGTGGCGAACACGTAGGGGATTCTAGGCTGATTCCTCTTTTGACTCCACCACCAGCTCTTCCTCTCCTTCTGCAGCCAGCTATTAAAGTTAGTTAAAGGGCGAAGGGAGGGCTTTCAGGGTACTAACCCACCCCATGGCTGTGTGGTCCTCTCAGCTGCCCATACAAGGCCACCCTGGTCCAACTCTTTTCTGGAAGGCAAGGAGACTGGGGCCCCATTTCATCTCCAGGGGAACAATATTCCACAGGGCAAGACAATAGCAGAAAGCTTTCTTCCTAGGCCAGGGGCCTGCAACCTTAAACACTCAAAGAGCCATTTGGACCTGTTTCCCACAGAAAATAAAACCCCATGAGCCTCAAAACCTGGGTGGGTGTGGCCAACTCAACGTCACTCCCACCCAGTCACATGACCTCACCTGCCACGCCTACCCAGGTTTTGTTGCTCCCAGTGTTTTCTGTGAGTCTCTCTCTCTCCCTCCCTCATTTCTGTTTTTTGTGTTTTACCTTCTCAGGCCAGGTGAGGAGTAGCTGGGAGGGGAGGGCGAGGCCAGCCAGTGGTGGATTCACCCAACAGGGAGCCACAGCAGAGGGCCCAAAGAGCCGCATGCAGCTCCAGAGCTGCAGGCTGCTGACACTCATCCTAGACCCTACTCATTCCTGTTTCTATTGCATCATTACTTCCTTCCTGTCCTAAATTTATTTATCTGCCCAACTGAAAGACCGCCCACTTCCCTCACAGACAGCGTCTGATATCATGAAGACAAAATAAAGTCAGAAGGGACCTTGGAGGTCTTCTAGTCTAACCCCCTGCTCAGGCAGGAAGCCCTATACCACTTTAGACAAATGCTTGTCCAATCTCTTCTTTAAAAATTCCAGTTTTGGAGCAGTCACAACTTCTGGAAGCAAGTTGTTCCACTGGTTGATTATTCTCACTTTCAGGAAATTTTTCCTAGGTTGTTTCTCTCCTTGATTAGTTTCCACCCAGTGCTTCTTGTCCTGCCCTCAGGTGCTTTGGGGAATAGCTTCTTTGCGGCAGCCCCTCAGATATTGTAAGACTGCTATCATATCACCCTAGTCCTTCTTTTCATTAAACTTTTGTTGTTGTTGTTAGTTGAGAAGTAGTGTCCGACCCATCACGACCCCGTGGACAACGTTCCTCCAGGCCTTCCTGTCCTCTACCATCTCCTGCAGTCCATTTAAGCTCACGCTGACTGCTTCAGTGACTCCATCCAGCCCCCTCATTCATTAAACTAGACATACCCAATTCCAGCCACCGTTCTTGGTATGTTTTAGCCCCTAGTCCCCTAATAAAGGACTCACCTTGTGATTCGGAGTGTTGTATGTACTTCGGGCAGTTCCGATATTCCAGCCGGGTTCTTCCGCTCGGATGGCCTCAGGCAGGGGCTCATGGGATTGCAAAGCATCTTCGTTGTTTCTACCTGTCCTTTTTCCATCGAGAGAAACATACCCGTTGTCGGTTTCAGTGGATTTGTCTATGGAGTTCTTTGCTTTCTTTGCTCTAGAGGCAAACCAAATATATGAAGTAGGTATTATTTGGGTAAAGACTTTTTCCTGATCCTGTTTCCCAATCCCATTTCCCTTTCATGCAAAGAGAAAAAAAGGCAAGAATAAAATTCTTAGGATAACAAGCTAATAATAATAAGCTGACAGTATATTTATTATTAATAATGCATTTATATTAAGTAATATATCATTTATAATTTTATACAATTTTTATATTATAAAAATTTCCGTTTCCCTGAAAATAAGACCTACCCTGAAAGTAAGTCCTAGTTTGATTTTTACATGTGCCCAATATAAGCCCTACCCACTAAATAAGCCCTAGTTAAATCCCACCCACTCTAGAGTGGACGGGTAAAAATTAAGTTAGGGTGGGGATTGGGGGGTGGAGCTGCCCTACCACTTACCTTTGGACAGTTCTAGCCAGGCCTCACACACCCCAACACCTGCCTTGCCAGCCCAGCATGGCTTTCCTGAAGGCCTCTATAGCTGATCACAAAGCTCAGGATCGATCCAGAGCTCTGTTATCGGCTGCAGAGGCCTTCAGGAAAGCCTTGCCAGGCACAGAAGAATGAGTTCCTGAAGGCTTCTGACAGCGAAAAGGAGGCTGGGAGCAACACGCACAAGTGAGGTTAGTCAGTGGATGACATCCCCTGAAAATAAGACCTGGTGCCTTTTTTGGTGGCAAAAAAAAATATAAGACAGGGTCTTATTTTCAGGGAAACATGGTAATATACTGTATGTTAATTTATACTACGTGTGCTATTAAACTGTCACAAATTAATTACTGATTTAGGATATATAAACCTAGTTGCCAATGATGTAGCTCAAGGCTGTCAAACTCGCAGCCTGCGGGCTGGATGCATCGTGCGCTGGTCAGGCCCACACCTGGTTTAGCAAAGTGGGAAAAAGTCACGATACATCACCTGACGATGTGAGTTTGACACCCCTGATGTAGTTGGAGGCAATATTTACATTATGCGTAAATTTGCCTACGTAAACATAGGAAATCTTTAATCTCACTCAATCACCACTGAGCTAAGACCTACATATTGAATAAGAGGAAAACTTACACCAAAAAATTAATAATCAAGGCAACATCAGTTCAGCTGAATAATTCTGGATGATGAAATAATTCTTAAGGATGAGGATATTTTACCGATTAACCATAACGCCATATTGGAAAAGAAAATTACAAAATGTGAAACAATGGTATGGCCATGTGTAATGAAATAATGTGATGGGTGAAAGTAAAAAAAAAATATGAATCATATGTCTGTGCCACCCCTACAATTTAGGTATAAATGGATATATATATCCACACACACACACACACACACATATATATCCATCCAAGTGATTTTGATAGGTCACTCTTTAACTCAGGAGTAGTCAACCTTTTTATACCTACTGCCCACTTTTGTATCTCTGTTAGTAGTAAAATTTTCTCTAACCACCCACCGGTTCCACAGTAATGGTGATTTATAAAGTAGGGGACAAAACCCCTACCGCCCACCATGAAAGCTGGAATGCCCACTAGTGGGCGGTAGGGACCAGTTTGACTACCACTGCTTTAACCAATCAGAACCTGAAAACCCAAAAGAAATTCTTCCTGCAATCTATTCATTTCTAAATGTATGTTTAATGTTTTCCAGACACAAGGGTAGTGTCCTTCTTTAAGCACGTAAGCAAGTAAGTTAAGGAAAAGCAAAACAAAGGTGAATCTTATTTATTTGTATCCAGCCTTCATTATTTTTAGAAATAACTCAAGCTAATGAACATAACTAACACAACTTCCTCTTCCTGTTTCCCCCACAACACCAATCCCGTGAGGTAGAGTGGGCTGAGAGTAACTAGCCTAAAATCATCCAGCTGTCTTTCATGACTAAGGCAGGACTAGAATTTACCATCTCCTGGTGATTGGCTCAAAGTCACCCAGCGAGCTTTTATGACTAAGGTGGGACTAGAATTCACCATCAACTGGTGATTGGCCCAATGTCATCCAGCTGGCTTTCATGGCTAAGACGGGACTTGAACTCACAGCCTCCTGCTTCTTAGCCTAATACCTTGACCACTAGATCAAACTGTCTTTTATCGCCTGCTGGAACTAACGGAGACCGAAAAAGTAGAAAGGCCCAACCCTAATTTAACAACAAATGCACTAAAATAAGAAACTCAACTGAAAAATAATTAGCAGGTTTAGAACAGAATCCACGTATTTTCATGGACTTTGAGAATCTGCTGCCTCTTTTTTCTCTTACTGGTCTCCAAGTGAAGTATGGAAAACAAAATCACAGGGGACTCAAACAAATTTTGATAGGATGATGTTAGAGAAATGAACAGTCCATCATTTAAGACAAACCAAGGCTTGACTTAAAATATACCAACCCTGATAAAAAGAAAGTAGCGTGCCACAGTTCCTTGAAGACAGCGCCAAGACTAGAAGAGGTGGTGGTGCCGTAACTCTGGACAGATCCTTCCTGGGTGTTATCGGTCGTGCTAGAGCCATCCCCTTCGCGATGCACTTCCAAGTGTGCTGCTTTCCTTAATTTCCTTGAAATTGTAAACGGAGGTATTTTGTAAAGATAATTAACTAGCCCCATAGCATGGACAGAGTTTACCCACTGCGTATGTTTACAGCTGAACAATGGCTTGGTTAATTGAAACAAGAAAATAATCCCATTTTCATTACTGTCTTTTGTCCGGTATTTTTGAAAAACAGGAAGTGACTAAACAGGCCTAGTTTTCTGCCTACAAAGCTCGAAGAAGCCTGTAGAAGCCTTCCTCAAGCCTTTTGGAGGCCGAAAAATCAGCTGTGAGGCGCATGGCTGAAAATCAGCTGTGAGGCACAGTGCAGGTAAGGGGGCAGCAGGGGGTGGGTGGGTGGATTGCGTGCGCATGAGTAGGGGGCGTGGGGGGCGCACATTGCCTTCTGGGTGCTGGCACGTGAGTGTGAGCATGCAAGCACGTGCATAATTTTGGGCACAGGAGCCCAAAAAAGTTAGCCACCACTAAACTAAAGCAAAGACCTGCACAAACCCAGCCCAGGCCCACCACAAATATACCTCCTCCTTCTCCCGCCGGTGTTTGTGGAGGATTTGGGGGTCCTTGTGGAGACAATCTGGCAGTGCACCGTTCCAAGGAGCAGCATGAGCCATGCCGGGCCGATGACTTCCGTCAGAGGTATGTTGTGCGGGCTTTGTATCGTGAAGAAGAGTATGATGGCAGCCACTGTTGGGAAGAAGAAGAGAGGATACAAATGGAGAAGACATTCATCGTTCAACCAGAGAAAAAGGGAGAGCATTACAGGTAGTCCTTGACTTACCACCTCATCAACAATTGTGAAGTCTGGGCTATTATCAGGAGTGGGATTCTACCGGTTTGGACCGGTTCGAGAGAACCGGTAGTTCCGGTGAGCATTTGGCCCCACCCATCCGCCCCTACTCTTTCCTGTGCTTTATTTCCTGGTGTTTTTTAGCACAGCTGATTCACACGGCAAAGGGGCTTCAGTTACCAGGGCTGCTGTAGAAGGTAAGTAAATCAGTTGCAAATGGGCTTTTTTAAACCTAGAGCATGCGCAACGCGAAGAGTGCGCTCACCAAACCGGTTGTTACACCAGTTGAATCGCACCACTGCCTATTATTATTATTATTACCCTGTCAAACTTCTTTTTTTATGTCAAATCGAAAAATATTTCCCTGGTCTTTTAGAGTTGCCAGCAGAAAGGGAGTAGGGGAAGTGGTGCATTCCTTAAATGCTTTCATAGATAATAGCTAGGCGGCCTAAGCTTCTGGCGCACAAGATTATTACTGGAGAGCATGATTGATGACTCTTGTCTATGGATTTGTCCCATTGGAGAATATACATCCGGGGATGCGGGGGGGAAGACCGGGGTCACGGGTGAAATGAATGATGTGTCTTAGTATTGGCTGCACCCAGGTAATGCCAACATGGTCACTCCTAATAAATCAGTTTTTTTTTACTCTGAAAGAGGCAGCTAGAGACTTATGATTTGAATGGGAGTGTATTGTCGGAGCCTTGACAGCTGGCTCTTCGGCTTTGTAATGGAGATGAGCACACCGCACCCTAGAGCCAGAAACGACTAGCATGGATGTGCGAGGGGAACCTTTACCGTTATGTCTTAGGCAGAAAGTTGTCGTCCAGACGTACCTTGGAGAAGATAAAGGAAAAGAAGCCACAAAAATATAACTTTTGATGTCACTTGTAGCCACCAGTTGAAGAAGAAGGGAAAAAAAACAACTCTAACAATTCCCTTTCGAGTCAGGGAGGTCCAGGGACTTTCTGGTTTTGCTTTTGCAAAGGCCGACCCTAAAGAGAAGCAGAATCAATGACCTGGTTACACACAAACGTATTTTAAAATTTTAAAAACCATTTTTTAAAATAAATATATTGATAAGTAGGGGTCGTCCTCGCCTTACGGCCACAATGGAACCCAACATTTTTGTTGCTAAGGGAAACGTTGCTTAGGTGAACTATGCCCCACGTTACGACCTTTCATGCCACAGCGGTGAAGGGAATCACTGTAGTAGTTAAGTCAGTCAGACGGTTGTTAAGTGAATCTGACTTCCCCCTCTGACTTTGCTTCTCGGAAGGTCATGAAAGGGGATCACGTGGCCCCGTCATAAAAAAATGAGTCGGTTGCCAAGCGGCTGAATTTTGATCACGTGACTAGGGGGAATACTGCAACGGTCATAAGCGTGAAAAATGGTCTAAGTCACTTCAGTGATACTGTAACTTTGAATGATCACTAAATGAACTGTTGTAATTCGAGGATTACCTGTATATATAATCTAATAAATGTCTAATATATAAAATCTAATATAATATAAATAATATAATATAAATAATATAATATGAATAATATATTATAATACAGGGATAGGATATAATATGATATGATAATATATTAATATAATTAACAATAATATAATATATAATATACAGTAATATAATACAATATACGGTAATATAATACAATATACGGTATAATATAATATATGGTAATATACAGTAATATATGGTAATATACAGTAATATACGGTAATATAATAACATTCACATTGAATATTATATATTATGAGATCACGTTGTCCAATTATTAAACGTTCTTTTGTTTTGAGAATAGTTCATCTCTTGGCTGAAGGAGTGTCCTTGCAGGAGTGTCCTTGGTGGGAACTTGGCTCCCACGGTTGAAGCCTCCACATTCCTTCTCACCTCCCACCTCCCCCACAGTTCTTTTGGCAAGTTGAAAAGTGATAAGATGCAGAGAAGCATAAACGGTTTCAATCTTAAGAACCAGGCTATGCTGGACTGATATTTAGGAAACAGCTCCCGATTACCAAAAATCTGCAGAAGAACAGGCTGAACTGGGTGGCGGAATTAAGTGAGTCATCAGCCTAGAATCATTAAGTTGCTACAAGCATCTAACTCCTTTGAGTTCTATTAACTCTTATCTCACACCAATTTAGCGTTGATCCTCGTGAATGGGCTTGAGCAGCAAATCTTTCGGAATTGCAACTTAACCTATGGTCCCGATCCTTTGCACCTGACCAAAATCCCACTCCTCTCCGCCCAATAGGGAGTTTCACCCCATGAAGAAAACCTGCCCGCTAAAATAAGAGAACATTAAAAACACTAAAACGAAGCAAGTATCTACTGAATGAAATTACATCTCCGGTTGAGGAGACCAAGCCTTACCTCTTACTAGATCCACGTCAATGAGATCAGGCTTCACATGCCCAGTTTTCTTTGGCTTGTTCCTCAAACCCTACAAGAGTATAAAATACGATATTTACTACACCGAATGCTGAAGACGGGTCACCTCTGGGCGATCTGAAATCTATCTGATGAGCGCCCGCAGTGTAAAATAATTCAGATCTGTGCAGAGCCACAACTTAGGAAACTTAAGAACCTGATTAGATTTTTTAAAATTTATTATTTTGATCAATAATTCAAGGCAATGAAGATACTATTAAGAGAAAATATAATCACATTAGCTCGGTAACCATGCTTCGCTACGAAACTATTTGGTCGGGCTTAGTTTTTGGGGAGGAAAATAAGGAGAAAAAAATACTGCCTCTGCCTACCAGTATCCATCAGTATTTATCTGGCTAGCGTCCTGTCAGTGTGTGAGAGAATTGAGGGCTGTTTGAAAACTGTAGCAGTATTTTCTGTGTTAGCAAGAAGGAGAAAGCAAGGAGCCTGGGCATGGTTTAGCTCAACTGTTCTGTACTAAAGCTGCTTGCTGCTATGAAACTGAAATTCCTCTCCTCTGCTTGTGTTTTGCATTTGGTTGAGATTTCTTTTCGGGTGGGGAGGGGGAGTAGAACTCCCTAGCATCAGAGTGTGTTAGTAATAATAATAATATAGGAAATAGCTAATAGCTCTGAGGGTCATTTAGAAAAATCCTTTCTTAGTGAGCCGCTTAGAAGCCAAGAGGAAGATATGTGCCAAATTTCAAGTTTGTAGGCTTTACGATTCTGGAGATTTTGTGATGATGCATGAGTAGTATTTCCCTTTTATATATATTGATTACAATGTTATGATATCTGACTAATTTAATGACTTTCAGTTCAGGTACTGCAGTGACCAATTAAGCTAATATAGGAAATTTAACTTCCCATCATCAGATCTCCAAGTGCCAACATCCTTCCAAATATTGGGGAAGATCCTCAATCTCCCCTAATATTACTGTGAGTCCCCCATTCTCACCACCAATGAAATTTGCAGACTTGGGAAGAAAGAGTTTCCATGGGCTTTTTTCAGTGGGCTGTTCTCCCTCTGCCCCCCTCCATCTCCCCCAAAAAAGTCAACTGGATGTTTTTTCTCTGAAATGTGATTCCAAATAGCTGAAATATTATTCCTGTAGCAGAGGGGTGTCAAACTGGCGGCCCGCAGGCTGGAAGCATCATGTGCAGGTCATGCCTCCTCCAGCTATGCAAAGGCAAAAAGTGTTGCGATACATCATATGATGGTAACATGACGGGTTGAGTTTGACACCTGTGCTGTAGCAGCAGGAATGGCAGAACCTGGAGGCAGAGTCAAAAGAGGAACCAGCCTAGAATCCCTACGTAGTCACAAGTGAATCAAGTCTAACCTCCCTTGATTTCCATTGACTCTTATCTAATTCCAAACAAGTGCTAACCTTTAGTTCAGAGATCTCCAAACTTGCAACTTTAAAACTTGTGGACTTCAACTCCCAGAATTCCTCAACCAGCATAACTATGCTGGCTGAGGAATTCTGGGATTTGAAGTCCACAAGTCTTAAAGTTGCCAAGTTTGAGGGCTCCTGCTTTAGCTGATTCTTCTGCATAGACATGAGTAGCAATAAATCCGTTTCATTGGACCTTCGTGCGTGGACCTGATCTTTCCCGCTTAACATTTTAATCTTGGTTTTATTTTGTTCTGACTCCCCTTTGGCAATCAGTTCTATCTCTTCAATTTCTCAGGTTCTTCGTGATGTAATAAAACATGATACTGTAGAAAAATTCAAAGGCTCCACTTGCAGTAAATTGCAATTTCTAAAATTCATGATTGCGAACCATCTCAAAAGATTCATTTCAACTAAGAAAATTCTCTGTCTTAACACCAGCTAATATTTTGCATATTTTCAATCAAGGTTATTGTTTTATCAAGCACTCCCATTATTTACACTATAAATTACCATATACTAGATGTGTTGTAATTCAGAGTCCTTTTAATCTATCAATAAATTCCCAAAAATCATGACTTTGAAAATAACATTCCCCCCCCCCAAATCTATCTAGAATAATTGACTTCTTGTTCTCTCCTGCTATATCCTGGTAGCAAATAATTATCAATTATTTGGCGCATCTTAATATCCATATCAATCTTCCCATGACTTACCTCAAACCATTACAAGGCAGGTTATTTTTAAAGTCTTGTTGCATTAATTACTAATCTCTAGTCTTCACCTATTGCCCACAGTTCTAGCTAATAAAAAATTATCTGTCTTATTACGTGGCAAATGGCTAACTTCATTATTGTATTCCTTCCTCTTGGCTCTCACAAAGGTGTAATGTATCCTCATTACATTGGTCATTACGGGAGCAGGGATCTGGTTACTAAAATAATTCACACTTCCAATTATGTTGGAAAGGTCACACATCCCTTTGTCTTCTCTTTTCTCTAACCACTTTTCAGTTCGGGCCTATCTTACTGACTGTTAAAAGCAGATTGAAATAATTTACTATTATCATTGTTGAACGACCCCATAAACCCTTGTGGGGTGGAGTCTGGGCAACTGAATGGAGCTGAGTATTTACTGGCCAGATGCCCTTCCTGTCACCAATGTGGAGTTTTGTTCAGCAGACAGATTCTCAATGTGCTGAGAGAGAAATATCTGCCTCTAGCTAGGATCGAACTCACAGCCTCCTGATTTTGAGGCGAGAGTTCCACCTCTAGGCCACCACACCACTCCCAATAATTGAAATAATTTACTATATTCACTGTTAAACAGCAGAATCCACAAAGGTGCAAAATACTGTTAAGTCCATCTCAACCGTGGTCTGTATTATCTGTATTATTATTTAAGACTCCCAATCACCAGTGGAGTATTGTACTGATTTTCTCATGTCAAAAATGTACTGCAAAAGAGAGGCTAAACAAAAATTGCTTGTCGTTTTCATTTCCTGGCTCTGTTTTATTTAAGGCTCTCTCTTTTTCATTTTGGAAAACATGGTCCGAGGAATCATGGTTAGCTATATCTATTTTTAGATGGAGACATTCATCCTTCTTGGGTTAACTAAAGTTTAAACAGATTAATAGAATATTCAGTGCAAACAGGACACTGAATAATTTAACTTATGGTTTGGTTGCCACAAAATGCTGCAGCTTTAATGCTTGCAATAATGCCTTCTTGATTATTTAAACACAGAATCCAGATCCATGCATGTTCTAGTACAATACAGAAAAACCTCATTTTTTCCCCTTTATTTTGGAGTTAAAACTTACACAAGAGAGAAAGAGAGAGAGAGAGAGATCTAAATGATGATAGCTAATTAGGAAAGAGAAAACTGGAATAGATTATCAATGGCAATAGAAATAAATTCAAGAGCCACATGATATTATTTAAAAAAAAGAAATTCTCTGATTTTTCTGCTACATTATCATCATCCCAATTAATGTATGGCCTTCTCTTGCCTTAAGAAAGAACGGCTGTAACACCCATAATAGAAGAATAGATTGAAAAGATGATAGAACTGGTAAAGATGGAGAAGTTGACTGTGCTAATTAGAGACAAAAATATACATATTTCTTTGGTTACTGGGAAGCCACTTCTGGGCTTCTCTTTCTGTATGAAAGAGAGAAAAGAAATATGAAATTTTGACCTGGACTGGCAAAGATAGGGAAGTTTTGACTGGTAGAGATGGCAAAGTTGATTAGACAATTTAAATAGTTTTGTGGCTATTGGAAACTTGGGAGCAGTTGCTGGCATTTTTGTGTGAAAGAGAAAACCAAAATAAAAATCAGACTTTGGGTTTTGACAATTACATGAATTCCTGCTATAAAAATGTCAGGCAGTTGTACTATTGTGCGCAAGTAAAAAGTTGATATTATTACTTTATTAAAATATATTATTGCACCGAAAAAGTCAGAAGTCACTGGCCTCTTATTCTTCTTTTTCCTTCTATCCTCATGTTATTTCCTTCTCCCTTTTTCCATTCTCCTTATTTCTACATGTATTTTACATCAAGAAAAAAAAAACTTTTAATAAAAATATATTTAAAAAGAAAAAAGAAAGGAAGACTGCACGTCCATCAGGAGATCTAATCTCCTTCCTTCGTGGTTTTGTTGCTAGATAATCAATCAATCAATCAGAATAGAGCTGGAAGGGACCTTGGAGGTCTTCTAGTCTAACCCCCTGCTCAAACAGGAGACCCTCTACCATTTCAGACAAGTGGCTGTCCAGTCTCTTCTTAAAAGCCACAACTTCTGGAGGCAAGCAGTTCCACTGGTTAATTGTCCTCAGTTTTAGGAAGTTTCTCCTTAATTCCAGCTTTCTTCTCTCCTTGATTAGTTTCCATCCATTGTCTTGCCTTCAGGTGCTTTGGAAAATGAGCTGACCCTCTCTTCTTTGTGGCAGTCCTTCAAATACCGAAAGACTACTACCCTGTCTCCTCTAGTCCTTCTTTTCTCCAGACTGGCCATGCCCAATTCCTGCAACCATTCAACCATATCAACAGACCTGATCAAGTTTGTTCTCCTAGCTCCATGATGGTGAACCTGTGGCACGCAGAACCATTTGTGCCAGAACATGAGCTTCAGGCAAACTTACCTCAGTGCGCATGTGCATGCCTCACAACTGATTTTCGGCCAGTTTGAGGCCTTTTTCAGGCTCCCAAAGGCTTGAGGAAGGCTTCTGCAGGCCGAAAACTAGCCCCATTTCATCACATACGGTATTTTCAGAAAAACAGGAAATGACAAAACGGGGCTAGTTTTTGGCCTGCAAAGCTTGCAGAAGCCTTCAGAAGCCTTCCTCAAGCCTTTGGGAGCCCGAAAAAGGCCTCAAACTGGCCGAAAATCAGCTGTGAGGTGCAGTGCAAGAGGGTGGCGGAGGGTAGGGGGGATTGTGCGCACATGCATAGGGAGCATGGGGGGCGCATTGCCTTCTGGGTACTGGTACATGAGCACGAGTGTGCAAGCATGCGTGCAATTTTTGGCACAGGAGCCCCAAAAGGTTAGCCGCGACTGTCCTAGCTGGTTCCCACTGGATTCCATTGGATGGCATCCTTATTCTGATGGATGTGTAGGAGATGACCAGGCCGAGCCCAAGGATGGGATCAAACTTAGCATCAATTTTGAGTCTCTACACCCCCTAGGTCCAGCTCCCCTTCAAGTCTGTTGACTCTTGTCTCATGTCAATACGCCTTGACCATTAGTCGTTCAAATTCTTGTGTTATTTTTGTTGCTGTTCAGTCACTAAGTCACATCTGACTCTTCACAACCCCATGGACTGCAACATGCCAGCTCCCCTTGTCCTTGGAATTAGCTCAAATTCTTATCCTCTGCCAGCCTCTTCTCCTTTTGCCTTCCATCTTTCTCAGGGTCTTTTCCTCTCTGATGGCAAAGTATTTGAGATATTATTACATACAGATAGAATTTAGTAAACCTATAGTGCTTGTGAACTCTATTTGACTCCTGATTTCTTGCCCCTGGCAGCATGCAGGTAAGCCACAAACAACCAAAGAAGAACAGGCAGATGCAAGTAGTAAGGAGCTGCTTGCCAGGAGTAACCACTGTCAGGCAGGCAACAGGTTACAAAAAATATCTCTGACCCTGTCAAGAAGGCCCCTTGCCTTCTGAAACAAGCCATTAAGCTTCCAAAAAGTCTTCTCGTCCCACTCCAATCAGTACCCTATGCCATTTTTTAAAAATGTAGCAACCACGGGTAATCCATGGAATGTGGTCAAAAAATTCAAGATGGCAGCCATAATGGTGTGAACAATACTCCACTCCATTTTAGATGCACCACATGTGCAATAAAAAGAAACACTTTCTTTTTACGGCCCTGTTATCCCTTAATTTGGGGCGGAGTTGGGGCACCTGGATGTTGCTGAGCATTTGCTGGCCGGATGCCCTTTCTGACACCTACGTGGAGTTCACAGCAGAAATTTTCTCTTTGCGCCCTAGCAGAGAAGTATCTGCCACTACTTAGGATTGAACTCTCAACCTTTCGAGTGAGAGGCGAGCTTCTTCACCTCTGCCACTCATGAACCACATGCAGACAAAGAAACACTGTGATGGGTTGCTAGTTTGACTTTTTTTCCCACCACATCTTGCAGACTTTTTATGGGGCACTAAATTTCTAAGGCTGGACTCAACTTGTTGCATTTCCCTCAATTCCATTTTTTTTAAAAATGAGAATGTGAAATATGATGTTAGTCAAATGTTGAAACTAGGGATCCTTTTACAGAGCTGGGCTTGGCAACTATGGACCGTTGTTGATTTGGGAACACAACCGTTATTGCTAATTTTGAGGCGTGAAATGATTAGCTCGCAAACTGGTAAAACAACAGCGAATGAACACAACACACGCTCACATTCCCAAGCAGTGGAGTAGACTTCTCTTGGGCTATCTTTGAAGCTGAGAAGTCTACAGAGGCTTAATTTCACACCAACAAACCAACAAAAGACATAAACATTGACGTTCTCAAAGAGAAAAAGCTGGATTAGGAAGCCAGCGTAGATCCTGGTGGGAAGAGCCACATATTTTATGCCTAACCAAGGTGGGAAAAGACAGGATTTTTTTTTTTTATTTTCAAAAAAGCTACGAAAGGACAGACTTTTGAAATGGCTCAGCTGGGTTGATTTGAAATAGCTGAGAAAAGTTGATAAAATAAAGAACGAAAAGAAGAAAATCGTATGTCCCTGATCTTTACCCTCTGATTCCGAAGAAAAACGAGGCAAAACCTCTTGAGATGCCTCCAAATAACATTGACAGTGATTATAATAATGGGCAGATTTAATATAGGCTAAGTTATTCAAGCTGTAATAATTTAGTTTAAAAGCAGAATTGGTTTTTTTTAAATAATGACATAATCAGTAATTTGTTCAACCAGGACGATGATCTAGGAACAAATATAGAGCAAAGACAGGTGTGATGGCATCACCATATCAGGCCAGACTCTGGACTCAAGGAGAACATTTTGTGAAGGTTAACAGGGGTCTTTGGACCAGCAATAAGAGGTCAAGGAAACAGCAAAAGATTCTAGCCCTGGAAATGGCTTGTCACAATGGAGATCTTGCTACTGAAAAATAAGAGGAATGGTCTAAGTAGGAGAGCCCAAATTAATGTGTTTGGGCCAACTCAATGCACAGAACATAGGTAGGATAACAAGCAGGTAAGCAAGATAGTTGGGAAGTTTATTCTGTGGGGTCCTTGGTGTTCTCTGAGCTTGGTGGTTTTTCTTGAAAATGTTTCATTACCAAATTAGGTAACATCACCAGTGGTAGAAGGGAGAGGAGGAGGAGGGGGGAGGGGGAGGAGGAGGACAGTGCCTATAGGATCCTTGGTGCTCTCTGAGCTTCATGTATTCCATTACTGAACCAGGTATGTAACATCATTGCAGCACTGCTGATGTTATCTAGTTTGGTAATGAAATGTCTACATAAAAGCCGCCAAGCTCAGAGAGCACCAAGGACCCTTCTTTTCAGCACCAAGCTACAAATATTCTCTTTATTCTCTCGACTCAAAAGACCATCACTGTTTAATCACTGGGCACCCTTTTGTTTTTTAACTATTACCATCTGGCAGACGGTACAGGACAATAAAAAAAAGGACAAACAGGCTGAAAAACAGGTTCTATCCCAGGGCAGGAACTCTGTTGAATTCTACTGTATAGTGCAATATTAATGCACTATCAGGGGTTTTCAATTCAATGTAAAAAATGTGAAGGATGTGTATTTGTGTTTATTTTCAATCATAATGTACACTGAATACGGTATTTAATTTCATTGTACGAGGTGCAATGACAATAAACTAAACTAAATTAAATTGAACTAAACTAAACTAAAATAAACTAAACTCTTTAAAAAAAAATCCAAATTTTGTGCCACTGGACTTCAACAGAAGATGTGAGAATGAAGAACATAACCACTTTCTAGGTTGCGTAGCTTCCTTTACACCTGTTTTTTGGATGACAGGAAGTGAAACGAAGTAAACAATAAAATGCTTTAGTGTTGTTCTAAATTTGCCGATCTTTTAGAAGGAGAGTTTCAGAACTGACATTTTTTCTTCCCTGGAGGGGTAAGTTCTGAGGCTCTTTGTATGTAGATTGACTTGAAACATGGAAAATTCCAACCAAATAAGCATTTCCAGAAATTAGAAACTCTTGCAAAATTCTCTTTAACCGAGTAAGGAGAAGAAACATACATCCCTTCTTAGCTCAATCTGAAGAAAAGGCTAATTATTAATTTGTTGCGACTTGTTCCTGGCAATATTTTTTTTAAGATTAGGGATTTTTTCCCCCAGAATAAAATGACTATTTTGAGCTCTAGTGAAGACATTAAAGGGTACGTCTAAGTTCCATTGTACCAAAGATATACTATGTTAGAACCATGATTTAAAGTCAAAATCTAGGATTGGATCCCCAAATTTTAAATTGTCTCCACAGAAGATTTAAGTTTGTGGCATAGAATTCATGCATCTTTGGAAAACTGTAGAAATACTGAAAATATACTTAATAGTGTAACCCTATGCTTTACGTTTATTCAGATGTTTAACAAGACATTTTCAGGGAAATTAAATTGCAATGATGATGATGATGATGATGATGATGATGATGATTCGTAAATATTCGAACGTTTGCTTATAGCTCAGCGGATAATAAGGGGATTTTGTTAGTGAGGCTTAGATGCAAAGACCATTAATCTATAGAAGCTGCTTGCTTAATACACATTTCGGCCACCATCACGTACTTACCAATTTAATAAACTGTTCAAAAGAATAACAGGATGAAAAGTCAACTGGAACTATAAACACAACCAGAAGACAATAAACTAAAACTGACAAAAAGTCAGAAGAGAGTGCAGGATAAAATGCAGTTTTAATGCAACATTAACTAAACACAGCAGGATTTTGCCAGTGTTTGGATTTCTTAAAGTGAGAGAAATGTAAATTTTCTACTCTAATTTTAGGAGCTTCTATAGAAGATACCCACAGCAGCAAAGTGTGGTACTGTTTATACCCATTTTATAGCCAAGTGGACATAAAACATACAGATTTCCCAATCCTATAACTTCCCCTCCCCTTCCTGATTCTTGTGCTAAAGTTTTGTCTCAGTAGGAGAAAAAAAATGAATTAGAATAGAACAACAGAGTTGGAAGGGACCTTGGAGGTCTTCTAGTCCAACCCGCTTAGGCAGGAAACCCTACACCATTCCAGACAAATGGTTGTCCAATCTCTTCTTAAAAACTTCCATTGTTGGTGCATTTAACTTCTGGAGGCAAGTTGTTCCACTGATTAATTGTTCTAACTTTACATTGATTTAAAACTACTAAAAATATTGCAGATGTGTAAGAATTAGCGTGTTAAATCCTACCGCTTTCTTAACAAAACAAAAGAAGTTTTTTTCCAAATAATTTTCTGCAAGTCACGTTCAGAACTTTATAGGACTTCCTCAATAAGTTAATAGAGAAAGCTGCTCAAAACTTATTCATCTGCAAATATTTCCATAAAACACATTATTTGAAAAGGGAGTTCTAAATGTGTTACTGGAATTTGAAAAAGCTTATTGTGGTCATTAACCAGAACAGGAAAATCATCATGCAAATATTTAAAACTGAACTGACAATATCAAATGGAGTATTGGTTGTACATAAGATTAGAGAACAGTTAAATAGTGCTAATAACACTCAATGCTAAACATCATTGTAAAGATTATAAGTTTTTGCTTAAAACTCTGCTTTAACCAATATAAAACAAATTTATTAAGGAATGTATTGCTATAAAAAAAAAGGATTGCAGTCTGGAAATGTACCTTGATTTCTCTCTGTTCAACAGATTTTTCCCATATTTGCTGATCATAAGCCCCAATCTATAAAGGAGAAAAAAAGGATTTAATTAAAACATGGCATGGCAAAATATTGAATCATTGCAGTATGCAAATTTGGCACAACATCTAAAACAGCGCACCTGTGCATATACATACATATTACATGGAGGAAAAAAGTTGCAAATCAAAGAGATGAACCAGCTTAAATATATTTGATTAATTTAATTCTGCCTTTTAAAAATTAAAAAAAAAAACAACCCAGTTTAGCAATTACAAACTGAAGAACTGCCCGTATTACAGTTGTTTAAACAGAACAGCTGAGAATAAATCACATTTATGTTTTAACAGCATGACAACAGTGGGGTTTTTTTTTTAGTTTATGACTCCCAGCTAAATGTGTTGCAAATCATAAACGAGTTATAAAATGTCTTTTCTGCATTTTCTGCACTGCTTCAATAGGTGGCAGCACCCAGTTGATGTTACTGGGCTTCAGAGTTAACGGTGCTAGAGAGAGAAAATTTTAGGCTGGACTCCGAAGTCGAGAATAGCATTTCTCAACAGATCTTCTACATTGCACCCCGCCCCCCCCCCCAAAAAAATGAACCGTGCCACAATTACAGCAGTCCTATTATTGTCACAGAGTCCTGACACTAGACTTAGAAAATTGCTAAATTCAAGAGACTGCATTCCAAGGAGTGACATGGTTAGGAATGTTAAAAGACCCAGTGCTGTTTCTTGAGAAAATTTATCTGTGTGGTTGTTGGGAGTGGAAAGCAACCTGATGAAACATAATCCATCAACTGACTTCAACGAAATGCTTTACAGTAAGTAGAGATAGGGCAGTATACCCGAATATAGTACTTTTAGTTAATCCTGGATAAATGAAGTAAATATCTAAGCATTGCTCCTACTACGACAGCCCTCAGAATAAAAACAATTTGCTACGTTTTACTGTGCAGTAGGATCAGTCTATCATCTCTCCCAACCTCCCTTTATCCATCCATCCATCCATCATCTCTCTCTCCCTGCCTATCTATCCATCCGTTCATCCATCCATCTCTATCATCTATCTATCCATCCATCCATCCATCCATCATCTCTCTCTCCCTGCCTGTCTATCCATCCATCATCTCTCTGTCTGTTTGTCTATTTATCTTTCTTTCTATCATCTATCTTATCTAATTTATCTAATCTATTTATCTATCATGTCTATATCTATCCATCCATCACCTCTCTGTGTCTGTCTTTGTGTCTATCTATATCTATCTATCTCTGTCTATAATAATAAAAAACATTATTTTGTGCTCTGTGTTCAAACAGGAATAAATATATATATAAAAAAATAGAAGAATCTACACATTTCTGTAAACTGTATACTTCCAGGATCCTACCTATCTCAGACCTGCTCTCACATTGTTCTCTAGATATGAATTCAAGACTGTGCTAAATAACAATTTATTCTATTGGTACACACCCTGATGTTACAGATGGCGAAATAAAACAATTGCAGGAGTGCTAGATAATGTATGAAAGCCAGTTTTGAATCTCCTTCTGTGCTGAATTTCATGATAGTAAAAACTGAAGGATTACCACCATTTCAGAGGCATTTCAAGCATTAGCAAGTTATTTATGTGCCGTGCTGAACAAATACACCACGAGTTCCCATTCTACGATCGTTATCTTTTAGAGAAAGAAGGAAGAATAGAAACTTGTGGTTTACCACACGGGCTGCAAATGAACATTATATTTCAGTTTAGTCCTACTGAATTTCATAATTTCATAAAAAATTTCCTTAACAGGCTAAAGGTTCTAAAAGTAGTACAATTTATAAGGCATATTCTACACATTATACTTTCTTTTTTTAAAAAAAGTACTTCTACTGTATTTTTTTAATTAAAGCATTCGCCTTCCTTTTCTATTGAATCCTTTTTTCATTATTATTTTTTTGCCTTTTCACTCCAATAGGGAACAGATGTCGGATGTTGTAAGAGATGGAACGAAAATTCTGCATCTGGTAAGCTACAAGGGGATGGATCTAGTATGAACTCTGAAATCTACACAGGCAGTTAAATAATCTGTAACAGGGTTCACACAGAAAGATAACAAAAACTACTGGAAAACCTTTCCTTTTTTTGATCCTGTCATCCCCTAGAGTCGGGATGACTAGATGGAGCTGAGCGTTTACTGGCCAGATGCCCTTCCTGACACCTACACAGAGTTCACAGTAGATATTTTCTCTTTGTTTCCTGCGAGAGAAACGTTTGCTGCTACCTAGAATTGAACTCTTAACCTTCCGAATGGGAAGCGAGCATTTTCAACACTAGGCCAACATACCGCTCATAACAACAAATCTTTTCAGCAGATTTTTTTTTTCAGTTCAGTAGTTTTGTTTTGTTTCTTGGTAACAAAATCTACTGAACAAGATAACAAAACTTCCTGGGAAAGATCAGTGAGACAGTAGAAAAAATTAAACAAGGAAACACACTAACATAAAGCTAGCCAACCTCAGGAAGTAAAGAAATAAGCCCAAACTCACACTTGAATTCTCCGTGTGTGTGTGTGTGTGTGTATGTACATATACATATACATATACACAGTATATGTGAACATATGTATATGTATATATATATAATTTCTCAGTTACAAATTATATCTATCTATCTATCTATCTATCTATCTATCATCTATCTATAAAATATAACATTTGTAATTGAGATATTCTCTGATTACAGGTCGTGCTCAACTTACGACCATAACTGAGCCCAAAATTTCCAATGCTAAGCAAAGCATTTGTTAGGTGAATTTGGCCTCATTTCATGGCCTTTATGACACACTGTTATCACTATAGTTGTTAAGTGAGTATCACGGTTTGTTACGTGAACCTGGTTTCCCCATCGACTTTGCTATCAGAAGGTTGCAAAAGGAAATCACATGATCTCGGGGAAGAGGTGGTATTCAGCCGGTTCTGACCAGTTCTGGAGAACTGGTAGTGGACATTTTGAGTAGTTTGGAGAACCGGCAGTCCAAGCTCTTCAAGTGAAGAGGAGGGGAGAAGAGAAGAGGATCTTGGAGGTCTTCTAGTCCAACCCCCTGCTTAGGCAGGAGACCGTACGCCATTTCAGACAAATGTCTGTGCGATCTCTTCTTAAAAACCTCCAGTGTTAGAACAACCACAATTTCTGGAGGCACGTTGTTCCATTAATTACTCTAGCTCTGGAACTCATTAAACCGTCTATACCCGTGTTGGCGAACCAATACTACGCGAGCCGGAAGTGGCACACAGAGCCATTTCCCCAGGCACGCGAGAGGTTGCCCAAAAGAGCCACACTGTGCATGCGCGGTATCCGGCATGCATGCACAGGAGGCAGAGGGGGGTGCACTAGAGACACATGTGCATGCACAGGGATGCACTGCATGTGACGGGATCGCACGCACATGCGCAGATGAAGGGGTGCAAGGGGGAATTATGTGAGCATGCGCAGGTGCATGGGGTCCGATGGGAAATTGTGTGCGCATGCACAGATGTGTGCATTCCCCTTGTGCACCGCATGCACCTGTGCAGGGGGGAATCATGCGTGCATGTGGAGGTGCATGGGGTGCCAGGGGAAATTGTGTGCGCATGCGGAGATGTGTGCTTCCCCCGTGTGCACCGCACATCTGCGCATGCGCAGACACAAGGGGGAATCGCGTGCGCATGCAGATGTGTGGTGCACAAGGGGGAATCACGCATGCATGTGCAGATGTGCGGTGCACAAAGGGAAAATTGCGCACACATGTGCATACGCGCAGCGCACGAGGGGGGTCATGCACACATGCACAGGGGGCATGAAGGGGGCCAGCATGCATTGCTTTCTGCAATTATCGGCACAGGAGCCAAAAAAGGTTAGCCACCACTGGTCTATACATTTGATTTTTCTGCAGCCCTCCCAGAATACATGAGGGAGAGAGAGAGGGAGAGAGAACTAGCAAGTTTCCCCCACGGGCACTTGCGTGCATGAAGCATGGCTGAGGATGCCGGGGCGCACCCCTTCCCGCTCCCGACAACCATGAACAGAAACCGAAAGGGGAGGACACAGCCCAGCCTTGAACTGTGAGGGATGCTGTCATAGGAAAGTTGGGTTTTAAAGAAGCAGATAGGCAGGAAGTGGTCCGGACAGAGATAATAACAGTTCTTGAAAAAAAAAAGAAAGAATGAATTTAATAGCTTGTTTATTCTTCAACTTGATACAAAATGTGGAATTCTTATATTACTCCGGGGTAAGAGTGAAGGGTTTTTTGGCCAAAACAGAAAAATTACTCCCTCTTACTCAGAGGCAAACCTTTAAAAGGATGTAGTTAACAATCGAAATAGAGCTGGAAGGGACCTGGGAGGTCTTCTAGTCCAACCCCCTCAAGCAGGAGACCCTATATGGTTCGAGACTAGTGGCTGTCCAGTCTCTTCTTCAAAACCTAGCAGCATGGAGCACCCACAACTTCTGATGGCAAGCAGTTCCACAGGTTAACTGTCCTCCCCGTTAGGAAGTTTCTCCTTAATTTCAGGTTGCTTCTTCCTTGAATTGCTTCTACTCACAGCTTCTTGTCCTGCCCTCAGGTGCTTTGGAGAATAATTTGATACCCCTCTTCTTTGATGAAGCCCCTCAAATATTGGAACATTGCTATTATGTCACCCTAGTCCTTCTTTTCATTAAACGAGACATAACCAATTCCTGCAACCTTTTCTTCCTATGTTTTAGTCTCCAGGCCTTTAATCATCTTAGTTGCTCTTTCTAAGCGCTTTTTCCAAAGTCTCAACATCTTTCTTTTGCAACTTGGTGACCAAAACTCGATGCTGTATTCCAGGTGTGGCCTTACTAAGGCTTTATCGAGCGGTACTAATATGAGACGCTGAGCTTGTCGATCAGAAAGGTCAGCATTTCGGCGGTTTGAATCCCTAGCCCCGTATCACGGAGTGAGCTCCCATCACTTGTCCTAGCTTCCGCCAACCTAGCAGTTCGGAAGCATGTTAAAAAATGCAAGTAGAAAAATAGGACCACCTGTGGTAGGAAGGGTGTTCCGTGCACCTTTGAAGGTGTTTAATCATGCCGGCCACATGACCACAGAGTCGTCTTCAGACAGCGCTGGCTCTACGGCTTTGTAACGGAGATGAGCACCGCCCCCCTACAGCCGGAAAAGACTAGCACGGAGGTGCAAGGGGAACCTTTACCTTTACTAATATTTCACGTGATTTTGATTCTATGCCTCTGTTTATACAACCAAGGACCACAGTGCCATAATATCGGCCCTTGCACTTGTGTGCGTGTGTCTGCGTGTGTTTAATGGGAGTTGGTTTGTGTTAAGTCAGAATTAGGGAACGTGTTGATTAATTGCTCTCGTAAGTTTCTGGTGGAAAGAAGAATGCGTATCCTTTCCAAATTTAAACCCGAGCTTCGGGACAAACACCTTGTGGTCCATTGAACTAGAGGCTGTGAGAGTATCACTGTGTAGTCCAATACTTACCAACTCCAGTGTTTCTAGTAGAAACAATAAATATTTCAGCATCAATGTATAATTGATGTCCAGGTGGATGTCTCTACTCCTAACCTAACTATTGATGTAATCAACCTGATCGACATTTTGGCCCTCAGAAAATAAGAATAAAACGTTCAGTGGATTTATCGACCAATGAACAACTATAATACAGGGAGTCCTCGTCTTATGACCACAACTGGGCCCCAAATTTCTGTCGTTAAGCGAGACATTTGTTAAGCGAGTTTTGCCCCCTTTCATGATCTGTCTGCCATAGTTGTTAAAGTGAGTCGTTGCCGTTGAACGAATGGGGAAAGCCAGATTCCCTTAACAACCGGAACAAGAGAGGTCGTAAAATGTGGCACTTAACAAACATCTCACTTAGCAACAGAAATCTCAGTTGTGGTCATAACTCGAGGACTTCCTGTATCTCTATTCCATTCTTCCCTGTGAACATCAGATTACTGCTTTAAGATTATTGGGGGGGGGGGGTTTCCCGGAGAAAAACTTTGACTTATTAATAACAGATAATCAGAGTTGGAAGGGACCTTGTAGGTCATCTAGTCCAACCCGCTGCCCAAGCGGGAGACCCTATACCATTTCTGACAAATAGCAGTCCAGTCTCTTCTTGAAAGTCTCAAGTGATGGCGCTCCCACAACTTCCGACGGTGACTTCTGTTCCACGGGTTGATTGTTCTCACTGTCAGAAAGTTTCTCCTTATTTCCAGGTTAAATCTCTCCTTGTTTAGTTTCCATCCATTATTCCTTGTCTGGCCTTCAGGTGCTTTGGGAAATAGCTTGACCCCCTTCCTCCTCTCTGTGACAGCCCCTCAGAAATTGGAAGACTGCTATCATGTCTCCCCTGGTCCTTCTCTTCACTAGACTAGCTATGCCCAGTTCCTGCAACTGTTCTTCGTATGTTTTAGCCTCCAGTCCCCTAATCATCCTGGATGCTCTTCTCTGTATTTTTTCTAGAGTCTCAACATCTTTTTATAGTGTGGTGACCAAAACTGGATGCAGTGCTCTAGGTGTGGTCTTAGTTTTATTGGGTAAACATGCAACGAGCTATTATGCAGACTTTTAAAATAATATATTTTAAATACATCTAAATTTGGAGCCGGATATGTTAACTAGAAGCTCAACTATTTTTATGCAAAAATCAGTTGTTTGGTCTTGTCATGGGGATCAAAGCTAATTGATGTTTTTCAAGTCTCATCACCCGTTGTAAATAAGAAGGCAATTATATTGAAATTTAAGGCACTGGATGATGCCTTCAACATCAATCAGCCATACTTGTTGCCATTTTAAAAAACTCGTGACATAAAAATGTTTTATTCACTATAAGGGCTTTTAGCTAAGGGATTGGGAGCCTCATAAAGTCATTAGTTGGCCCTAATTAAGAAGAGGTAGAATCCAGCTCCTGAATGGAGAATTTCCGCAAGTTTTTCTTCTCTTCCTTTTTCCTATAATCTTTTTGTTTGTTTGTTTGTTTTAAACTTCTAGGAGTAAAGAATCCTCCAACTACAACTTGATGTAGTCATGCCAGGCTGGATTAGAATTGACCAGCCAAATCTCAGGAGATTTTTTTAATAATATTTCCCTTCTAAGCTGCATTAAATGGAATCTAATAACCAATAAAGGAGACTATTTGTAGCTCAGGGTTGAAATAAAAAGTCCTTGGTGCTCTCTGAGCTTGCTTGTTTTTCTTGCAGACGTTTCATTACCCAACTAGGTAACACCATCAGCGTTAGCAAGAAAACAAACCAAGCTCAGAGACCACCAAGGGAATCTAGTAAATCATTTGTATTTGTACCTAAGCAATATTGACTGAGCTAAACATCAAGTTCACCCTTAAGCCTTAACACAAACAGGCAAAGTGTTTTGCCCTTTAAAAAAAGGCATTGCTGAAATTTGTGTTCCAAAACTTCAAGCGCACAAATAAACCCATCAGTAAACTGAATCCAGAAAGGCAACACAATGGCTGCATTCATATATTCATAAATGTGCCCAAGGCCACTATGACTTACACCCATGCATATTTCTGCAGTAACATTTGAAAAACTAGAAACATGTGGGTGACTTCAGTGGTAAGTTATTTTCTGCATAAAGAGGAAAGCATTGCCAGACTGCACCTACGGCCTCCAGACATTATAAAAGCTTTAGAGAACAACAAGATAAACCTGAATTATTTCATTTTTTCAAAAACAACCCTCAAATATTAGTCCCAAAGGCGCTTTTTTCAGGAGGCAACTGGACTTTCTTTTTCTTTTTCTGTTGAAGACGGTTCACTTCTCATCCAAGAAGCTTCTTCAGCTCTGGGGAACGGAAGGATTTCTATTCCTTGTAGACAGCTGGTCATTTGCATCCTTTTTGACGGTCGTTGAGGCCACTTGGAGGTTTATCCAAGTGAAAAAATGAGAAGTGAAACGTCTTCAAAAGAAAAAACAAGAAACTCCAGTTGCCGCTACGTGGGTGCAGCCAACTCTAAGACACATCATTCATCTCACCCTTGACCCTGGTCTTCCCCTACCCCCTGGATGTATATTCTCCAATGGGATACAGCCTGTCATGCCCCTGTTCGAATCTGATTCCAAGGGGGAGGGGGAACAGCTGACAGGGAGTGGGAGTGTGGCTCCAGTGGCTGTGGAGGAAACGGGGGAAGGGCACAGTCTGGCTGGGCATTCAGAGGAAGACCCAGGCCCACCTCCTCTTCATCCTAGGGCATGCAGGGAGGAACGGAGAAAGGAGCAATGTGGGTTACGGGGTTTACAGGGAGAAAAGGGCCCTGATTCCCTTCATTAGCTACAGCTGGGGAAACATGATAAACAGGATAAAGAAGCAATACTGGAAACAAAGCATGAATTATCTTTGTTTGTCATGTCTTATCTGGGTTCTGACGTCCTCCCAACTATGTGTGTTTCATTATCTTTTGAAGGCTGCAATTCCTTATCCTGCCCTATCTTGTTAATTGCTGCAGAGTCGTTTGTGTTGGTTTTTATTTATAATTTATATGTACTTTGGGTTCGGACCGAATTTCTTCCCTTTAAAAACTGTTCTTGGGAGATTTTTTCTCCAGCTGATGATAACTGGACATTGGGGGCCAAGTTGGAGGAATTAAAGGGACTTGACCTACTTTTGTGACTTTGTTGCTTTTGTGGCACCGCCCCGGATCATCACACATCCATAGCCAAGAATCATGCTCTCCAGTAATAATCTTGCCCACCAGAAGCTTCGGTCTCCTAGCCATTATCTATGAAAGCATTTAAGGAATGTACTACTTCCCCCCCTCCCTTTCTGCTGGCAACTCTAAAAAACAAAAGAAATCTTTTTGAGTTGACACCTTGGTAACTTTGAATGGCCACTCAATGAACTGTGGTAAGTTGAGGACTAAATGTAATTAGGCCAGGCTATAATCTGTTTGAAAACCATCATTTCATACTGAAAAAAAAAACAATTCTTACCTTTTTCTGATACCAGACGATAGCATCTGTTACTTTGGAGGCCATTCTCTGGCATTTATACCCAAGTCATTTTAGGCTGCAGAGAAAATAAAGACAACATGCAATTTTAAACCTTAAAATTTCAACTATGGCAAGTACGATGTTTTCGCTTAAATCGGGAGGGCCAATTAATCTGTCAAATGTTGTCAGCGACTATTTTAATATCATGTTTCCCTGAAAATAAGACCCTGTCTTTTTATTTTTCTTGCCACCAAAAAAAGGCACCAGGTCTTATTTTGGGGGGATGTCATCCACTGACTAACCTCACTTACACGTGTCGCCCCCACTAGCCTCCTTTTTGCTGTTAGAGGCCTTCAGGAACTTCTTCTTCTGTGGCCGGCAAGGCCTCTGGATCGACCCAGAGCTTTGATACCAGCTCCAAAGGCCTTCAGGAAAGCCTTGCTGGCTGCAGAAGAAATGGGCCGGCAAGGCAGGTGTCGGGGTGCGCTAGGCCTGGCTACAACTCTCCAAAGGGAAGTAGTAGGGCAGCTCCACATACACCACCTCCCCACCCTAGCTTAATTTTTACCCATCCACTCTGGAGTGGGTGGGATCTTGATTAGGGCTTATTTTGTGGATAGGGCTTATATCGGGCGCACGTGTTAAAAATCAAGCAAGGACTTACTTTCAGGGTAGGTTGTATTTTCAGGGAAACAGGGTAGTTGTGACTACGACTATTTAATCCAAGTTCAAACGTGGTGAATGAAGCCAATTGTGTGGTACAATTCTACTTGTTTTTCTAGATGATGTTTATTGGGTTTCTATTTCACAATATTCTTCAAGGATGGAAACTAATCAAGGAGAGAAGCAGCCTGGAATTAAGGAGAAACTTCCTAATAGGGAGGACAATCAACCAGTGGAACGGCTTACCACCAGAAGTTGCACTGGAGGTTTTTAAGAAGAGGCTAGACAGCCACTTGTCTGGAATGGTCTAGGGGTCTGTTGCTTGACCAGGGGTTGGACTAGAAGACCTCCAAGGTCACTTTCAGCTCTCTTATTCCGTTCCACTCTTAATTCAGAATCCCCCTTTAATCTTTCTGGGGCGTTTGAGGTTTCTTCTTTCCAATTACGTCAACACAGTCAACTCTTTCTACTTCCTGTTCAGGAATGGAGAACTTCAGATCTCTGATGGGCTTCCCCAAAAAGCAAGTAACCACCTTCCTTTGCAATAAACAGCTGCATTGCTAACAAACACAAGATCTGCACTGTCAATGAAACCTGGCTTGGAACCAGATCGAGATGAATGCCGGTCTCCTTATATCCTTTCTCCCCACAACAGCTCAGCTCCAACTCTTAGGCAGAAATTACACAAACGGTGATCAATAGGACAAGTGCTATGGGAAGTAAAGGGCTACACCAAGGGTCCCTTGGTGCTCTCTGAGCTTGATTGGTTTTCTTGCAGACATTTCATGACCCAACTAGGTAACATCATCAGTACTGGGAGGGAGTGCTGTTTGCTATCAGTTTACCATTTATTTATTATCATTCATTTACAGCCGTTATTTATTGAAATATACAGCAAACAGCACTCCTTACTAGCACACTGATGATGTTACCTAGTATGGTAATGAAATGTCTACAAGAAAACCAACAAGCTCAGAGAGCATTGAGGACCCCACAGTTGTTGTTCTCCTCTTCCTCCTCAAACCCTCCTCCCTCCTAGCATTGATAATGTTACCTAGTTGGGTCATAAAACGTCCGCAGGAAACCAACCAAGCTCAGAGAGCCCCAAGGACTCCTCAATCCTTTCTCAAACCCTCCTCCCTCCTAGCACTGATGACATTACCTAGTTGAGTCATGAAACATCCGCAGGAAAACAAGCAAGCTCAGAGAGCCCCAAGGACCCCCTCAATCCTCCTCCTCAAACCCTCCTCCCTCTTAGCACTGATGACATTACCTAGTTGGGTCATGAAACGTCCGTAGGAAAACAACCAAGCTCAGAGAGCCCCAAGGACCCCCTCAATCCTCCTTCTCAAACCCTCCTCCCTCCTAGCACTGATGACATTACCTAGTTGGGTCATGAAACGTCCGCAGGAAAACAAGCAAGCTTAGCGAATCACCAAGGACCCCTCATTTCAACCCAGAGCTACAAATGTTCCCCACGTATTTTCCTGGGATGCCCCATAAGCTTCCTTAAGACACCTGCGCAGTCCTAATGATTTCTGCTCTGCTAGAAAATAGGGATTCGGAGAGGGAAAAAAACCAGTGTGATTTTCTGGTTATTTGCGCCGTCTCCAATCTACATTTCGTGCCCGCAGAGAACGGCCTTCGGAAGGTGATTGAGTGGAGAGCTTCTGGCAAGAAGTCCCACTTATGTTCCCCAGGGCCTGTCTAAAACATCACAAAAACATCACTTCCCCAGACACAAGGTAACACATCACTACAGGGATGTGTGAACTACGAAAATGTAGAGTCTTCTTTAATAATCGGCTCAGGCTGTTCTTGGCGGCCTCCGTTCATCCCACAACTGGGGACGACCTGAATTTTCATCCCGTGCAACCAACTCTCCCTCACATCCAAAATTTTTGTTTATGTACACTGAGAGCATTTGTACCAAAGACAAGTTCCTTGTGCTTCCAATCACACTTGCCCAATTAAGAATTATCTTCTCTTCTCCCCTTACCCTATTCCTACTCTAATAAAAAAATAAATTAAGGACCTGGGGAGTGCATTTCCATACCCAATTCTATTCTTAGAAAAGTACAAAAAACTAAACAAAACCCAGATTATCTATCACCCCAACCCACATTTTGCAGCCTCACCTGGCCGATGTAATTGTTCCTAAGCACACCTCCTTCGTTCTTTCTGTGTGTGTGTGTGCGCGCGTGCCGCAAGCAATTGAGGTCTCAAAGAGTTAGAAGCTGAAAATAATTTTAAAAGGCACCAGGAGGCTGGGAAGAAGCGAGCAACAGGTTGACTGCTCGGAGAGTGGAGGAGAGGAAAAAGAAAATTTACTTTTATAAGCAGCAGATGACACAGCTGCTAAGTATGTTATTTGGGAAAAAAAATAAGAACGCTGTGCAACTTGTGGGAATATTTATTCAGCGGTGCGCCGTGAATGTACAAGGCTAAATCAATGTTAGCATTAAGGAATTTCAAAATGTAGAGTAAGGAGTGAATTTTATACCGGGTATAAAGGACCAGGTTAGTTTATGATAGCAAAAACACACAAAAAATCAGCAATCAGGTACCATCTATTCCAATTATAAGCCGTCCTCAATTTAAAACGGTTCGTTGAGTGACCGTTCCAAGTTGCAACAGCACTGGAAAAAAGGGACTTACGACTGATTTTTCACACTTACGACCATTGCAGCTTCCCCGTGATGGTGTGATCAAAATTCAGGTACTTTGCAAATTGTCTCGTATTTATGACGGTCGCAGATCCTGTGACCTTTGTTTGCGAACTTTTGACAAGCAAAGTCCATGGGGAAGCCAGACTTACTTAACAACCATGTTAACTAAGGCAGTGATTCACTCAATGACGGTGCAAGAGATGGTAAAATGGGGCAAAATTGACTTAACTCAGCAAGAGAAATTGTTGGCTCAATTGCAGTGGTTAAGTTCAAGGACTGCCTGCCCCAATTCTGCCATCAGAATTTATTTCCAGGAAAGCCAGGTTCACTTAACGACCATATTACTAACTTAAGGATGGAAGTGATTCACTTAATGACAGTGGCAAGAAAGGTGATAAAATGGGGTAGTCCAACCCTGTTGAATAACGCATCCAATGCAGCGCTTTGCTTAGCAAATGTGACAAGAAAATGGAGCAAAACTCCCTTAACAACTCTCTCTGCTCAGCGGCGAAAATGTTGGGTTCCCTTTGCCGTCGTAAGTCAAGGACCAGCGGTAAAACTTTTTTTAAAAAATTTTTATTAAACTTTCAAAGATATATACAGACTACAAAACATTTTGTTAAAAACTAAACCCCAAAAAATAACCCCAAAAACATAAAACATATACATTTCTAATTACTTAGACAGTACGTTCTTATCAAACGATCTTCTAATACTTATTTCATGAATCTGGTTAATACTCCTATTATAACCTCTTTGTATTTTCCCTTCCTTATCTATTTAGCTGCTGGTTTCTATCGTTTATCCAATTATATCAGGTTTCCCAAACTGTATAATATTCTGAGTCTTCCTTTTAATTTTGGGGTAAGTTTATCCATTTAAGTGCAATTGTAGACTTTCTGGATTATCAGATTTTCTGTTGGCATCTGATCACACTTCCAACATTGTACTAGTGCTATCCTTGCCGCAGTAATTATATGTAAAATTGAGTATTTTATTTCTGTTGTGTATTTATTTTGCATAAAACTTTCTGATTAAAAAAACATTGCCACGGTGTATTCTGAAATTATTTGCATGCAATATCCCGCAAAAACTATGCATTGTTATGTTTTGGGGATGACGTTCCCCAAACCAGTTCCTTCTGGATACGTGGAAATTGCAATTCCCATGTTTGTGGCGAGTCGTGGTTGCGGCTCATGCTGTTTGGGAAGTCTGGCATCGTAACTCGAGCTCCTGTCAAATCTGCAGGGTTGGGAGAAGCTGTTTCAGGTGGCGAAATCAGGAGTCAGCACAAAAACCTCTGGCACAGAAAGCCTTCCCCTTTGGCAGCTGGATCCAAACATTCCTTTCCTTACCGCTAAAATCGCGCCCAGCCTTAAGGACACAAACACAACTCGTAACCGTTGCAGCCAAAGGTATCTGTATTCTACCACTTTTTTCCCTCAAAGAATTCCGCCTGGCTGTGTAATACAACAAGTCGAAACTGACACCGGTAAATATAGCAGTAGCGCTTAGTTCTTTTATGGGTAGTCCTCGCCTTACGAACAAGGTTTTGGTCGCTAAGGGAGACCTTAAGTGAGTTTGCGGCGTCCTGGGGGGCGTGTGAACCCTCCCTTCCTGCGACTTTCCAACAAGAAAAGTCAACAATTTCAGATTTTAACAGAGTTGGAAAGGACCTTAGAGGTCATCTAGTCTAACCCCAACCCCGCCCCAAGCGGGAGACCCCGCAACCATTTCTGACAGACGGCA